ACCCCGGTCCAGTTCAACCTGGAGGCCCTCTGCTCGCAGGACGGCCTTTTCTTTGGTACTCTATTGAGCCTTCCTGCTTCAAAATAACAAGAGCGTGGCCTCACTCCTCTCCTTCCATGAACAGGCTGCGTCGACACCTCGTTCGTGCCCGCCAGCGGTTGGGCTATGGACGAGAAAGTCGTCGTTGGCGAGTTCGGCGATGAGCTCGAGATCAGCTACTCGCCTGCTCAGCCCATCGACGGTGTCTTCGTCGACTTCCGATACTCTGGTTCGCTTAAAGACCTCCTTCCTGGTGAGTGAGGCTTTGTTGTTTCTTACAAAGAGGGGGGACAGTATGGCTGAGCTGCAAGGAGCACAAGGAGTGGACCTTCGAGACCATCAGCGACCTCATGCTCAAGGACGCCATCGCCAGGAACGTGAAGAAGCTTAATAAGCTCAAGGAGAAGATCGCCCTGCTTCAGGTACCCCTCGTTGATGTCGGCCATGGCTTCAACGTTGATAGCACTCACACCACTACACCACATAGAACATTCTCTTCGAGAGCACCGAGCATTCGTGCGAGAGCATCTCGAACGTCGTGAACCTCGCCCCGGCTGCCCTCCACTCCTTCCAGTTCCTCGATGAATGCATCATCGACAGAAACTCGCAAGTACGTTCCACCACACGACTGTACCCTCACAGCGCCCACCAGCAAAGCCGAGTGAAGGATGTTAACATGTTCTCCCAAGCACTGAACTGACCATGGCGTGAACTACCCACCAGGCTGCGGACTTCCTGACCAGGGTGAACCAAGCCTAAAGCAAGCAGGTCGGAGACAACTATCTATATTGGAGTGGGGAGGGTGGAGAGGGATAGTGCCGGGTGGATGATTGATTGAACATCGATTGTTTGGCACAGCCGCGAATGAAGTGTTGGGTCGTTTATCTGGGGTTCGTCACGTTGTCTCCACCACAGCCAAGATCTTTCTTAAAAAGAAAAGATAACTGTGAGAGAAATAGGAAATAGAAGATGGATAGAGATGGTGGCGATGAGGCGTATCGGGAGGAAGTCACCCCAACCTCTTTCGAACAGGGCAAGGTTGAGCGCACGATCGTTCACATTTTGAGGCGCGCCTTGGCAGACTCTCCAGTGCCAGCATCGTCGCATCGATTGCCCTTCCAGGATTACGTGGATGAGACGCCAACCGATGGCCGATCATTGGAAGATGAGGACGACCCTTCCGATGATTTCGAAGACTACAATGAGGATGGAGTGGGACTCTGTCGTCTGCAGCACGCGTCCTACGCAGGCCGTGGCCTGCGCGGTCTACCCGGCGGCTACTCGTCGCTTGACGCATCGCGGCCCTGGCTCTGCTACTGGATCCTCAATGCCCTCGATCTGCTCAACGCTCTGCCCGCCCCCTCCACCCTCTCAACAACATCCAAGCCTCCCACAAAACGAGCCGCTTCTTCATCTTCCACATTGGCATCGATGACATCGCGCGTCGTCGATTTCCTCAAGCGGTGCCAGGCCCCGACGGGCGGCTTCGGCGGCGGACCGGGCCAGCTGCCCCACATGGCCCCCACCTACGCCGCCGTGAACGCGCTGGTGATCATCGGCACCGAGGAGGCCTACAGCGCGATCGATCGACCGGGCCTCCACGCCTTCCTGCTCGCCCGCAAGCGACCCGACGGCTCCTTCACCATGCACGAGGACGGCGAAGTCGACATTCGCGGTACGCGCATCGTGTGCGGTGTGTGCGATGTGCATGTGCGGTGTGTGTGCGGTCGATGGCTGACCCGATCTCGCGCGCAGGCACATACTGCGGGCTGGCGGCAGCAGCGCTGGCGAACGTGCTCACGGACGAGCTCGTAGCCGGCACGCCCGAGTACCTCGCCTCCTGCCAGACTTACGAGGGCGGAATGGGTAACCTCACCACCATCTCTTCTCCTTCTTCGCTCTCGTTGTCATCAACTCACCTTCTCCTCTATCATCACCTCCATCTTCATCATCATCTTCATCTTCTTCTATATCATCACCTTCATCTTCTTCATCAAGGCGGAGAGCCGGGCAACGAGGCCCATGGCGGGTACGCCTACTGCGGGGTGTCGGCGCTGGCCATCCTGGGCGAGCTTCGGCGGCTCGACCTGCCGGCGCTCCTCAAGTGGACGTGCGAGCGCCAGATGCGGTTCGAGGGCGGCTTCCAGGGCCGCACCAACAAGCTCGTCGACTCGTGCTACTCCTACTGGCAGTCCGCCATCTTCCCCCAGATCCAGCCTCTCCTTCATCTTCATCACCATCAAGAAGAAGCAATCGAAGAAGTAAAACGAGTAGAAGAAGAAGTGGAAGAGGTTGAAGAAAAAGATGAAATGGAAGAAGTGGAGGAGATACCGAGGCCCGGCCGGGAGTGCGAGGGCGACCTCATGTTCGACCAGCTGGCGGTCCAGGCCTACATCCTGGCGTGCTGCCAGGACATCGACGGCGGCCTGCGCGACAAGCCGCCCAAGTACCGCGACTACTACCACACCTGCTACGCGCTGGCGGGTCTCGCCGTGACCCAGCACAACATCGACCCGGCAACGATGCCACCCACCTGCCTCCACGGCCGGACGGCGACCGACCTCCTCAAGCGAATCGACCCCTCGCACGGCATCAGCGTCGAGAAGGTCCAGCGCGCCCGCCGCTACTTCCAGGCCCTCCCCGCGGTCAACAAATAAATAAAAAACAAATAACAAATAACAAAACAAATATTTATTTTGCACAAAATAAAGAAAAATGGAAAAAGAGAGGAGGATTAGAGGTGGAGGATGGTGGTGGCCCTCTCCTTCATTCGTTCGGCGACGAGGTCCATCAGGCGGGTGAGGAGCGGCGTCGGCTCGAAGCGCAGCACCCGCGCGTCGGCCGGGTCGGACACCGAGTCCCGCACGTAGTACCGCAGTGTGCCCACGCCCATCACCGCTCGTGTCGTGCCTGGTTCAACGAAAAGCTGGCGTTGAGACGCAACGCACGAAACACACAACACGCACGACACGCATAGAAAAAGGCGCAGGAGAGTGTACTGGTGATGAAGATGGACTGCCAGCGATCGATGGTGGAGATCTGCGGGCAGTGGAGGGAGATGGGGATGTGGTTCTCCGCGCACACTTCGAGCACCAGCGAACGGAACGTGCCCGCCAGCACCACGTCCGTGGGCGCCGTGCGCACCGTGTCCTGCGCCGGAGGCGCGCACACGCGGAGGTGAGTGGCGTCCATCGATGTGTGGAATGCGCATGGCCTCGCGTGGAATGTGCAGGTGAGGTTGAGAGAGGTGGAGGAGTGCATACCTCGGCGATGACAAAGACGTTGCTCGAGAGGCCTTCGGTGACCAACCCGTCTTCATCGTACATGACCACCTCCTCTTCGTCCTTGGCCTGCAGCGCCTCGTAGACCTTGCGCGCCCTTTTGGCGTGGGAGAAAGCTGCGTGAGCCTAGCCGACGACAGCGCCTGCGTGCGTGTGCGGCCGTGCATGTGCGCGTGCGGCCGTGCGTGTGGGCTGAACGTACATGTTCCATTTGACGTCCTTCACGTGGGGATCGGCTCGGCGGGGAGCGGGTCGCAGAGCGGCGGTGACCAGCTCGCCCCTCTGCTTGACCGGCAGCGCCTGCACGTAGATCAGCACGTCCACGTCCGAGCCCTGCTCGCCGGCGCCCGGCGCCGGGCTGGGTGCGGCGAGGAAGTAGATGCGCAGCTCGTCGCGCTCGTGGTCGGGGAAGCGGGCCAGGAAGGCCGACATCGCCCGGCGGAGGGTGGGGAGCACCAGGTCTCTCATCCGCTCGTCGGACATCGCGATCGGCGCCCGCTCGCTCAGCTTGGCTGCAGCACACGACACAACCCACACGCGCGCGACAAATGGCTGCAGTGGTGAGCGCGAGCCATACACTCGCGCCAAGCCGAAAGCCGAGCGTAGAGACGTACCCAGACGGCTGATGTGTGCGTCAAAGTCGAAGATGCTCACGCGGTCCACGGTCCTCGCGGTGGTGTACGTGGCTGGTACCAGTACGAAAAAATGTTAGACAAAATAAAATAATTATTGGCATTTATTTGCTAGATTTTATTTCTATGCTTTAGTGTATTGTGCATAAATATTAAAAAATAATAAGAATAATCCACCTGATTTGCTGTGGATGGAAATCGCAAAATCGCTGGCGAACGTACCCACGGAGTAGAGCTCGAGGAACTGCTTGGTGGTGATGCCCTGCAGCTGGTCGTCCTCGCGCCCATTGCGCATGACCACCCTAGGTGGCAGTGGCGCGGGTGGCGTGCCTTCCATCTCGCGGCTAAGTAGAGCAAAAGAGCAACGAGAGAAAAGTGTAGTTCCGAGAAAGGGTGTGGTGCGTGTGCGGTGGCTGAGCAGCAGTCGTTGTGTTGTGGATGATGATGGTCTTGCACACCGCATGCGCTCGCGTTCGGTTGTGTGGGGAGGCAATGCGCGGAAGAAGACACCGCTTCGTGCAGAGCGAGACGAACGCGGCTGTGGCGATGACGCTGCGGTGATGAGAAATACGTAGAAAGGCACAAAGAAAACAAAGATTAAAAGTTGAGCCTGATCTACAGCAGAGCACGAGGTGGGAATGGGAGCAAAGGAAAAGAAGCTGGTGAGCCCCCCCCCCGCTTCCACGTATGAACCTGTAAGCATTTGTACAAGGATTATTAAATTCGACTTACAAATTGTGATGTGGAATGGAAGGTGGTGGCGTTGGTGGCGGCCATGGCCGGTGGCGCGGCACTCTTCATCGTGCCAACCATGCGAGCACAGCAGCAGGCCAGAGACTCACGGCGTGGGCCAGCACCACGAAGCGCACCTCCACCTTCACGAAACACCCCCAACCAGTGATCACTGGATGCGGGTGGTGACGATGGCGGCGTCTATGGCGACAGATCTGGAAAAAAACGCGTGCACACTCCAGGCCGTGCTGACAACTCGCCTCCACAGCTGCGGCCGTTGTGTGCTTCACCATCGACAGCGCTGAGCTGTTTATTTCTTGAATACGAAGAAAAAATTGGCTGGCGCCCAACGGCACGAACATAACGCGCAAACAACATCGAGATAGATGGAAGGAGAAGATAGGAAGTCCAATATTGTGAAGGCCACGCCCGGCGAAGAGGGTGAGGACGCTGTGATTTCAGTCAAATTGGCTCCCCAGGACGGCTCAGTACGTTCACTCTCGAAGTGATGATATAACCCCCCCCCCAATGTACTGATACAGATCTCGTGCCACAGGGAGTTGTGGAAATCCGAGCAAAGGGAAAGACGAAGATCAAGCGACTGGTGGATGCTTGGGCGAAGCAGAAGAGCATCAATCCGCAATCTGTGCGGCTTCTTGGACCGGAGGGACAGCGTCTCAATCTTGAAAGCACTCTGAACGAAGCCAACATCAATGACGGTGTACGTGCTCTGCTCCAGCCTCGCGCCACATCTCGCCCTGGGATCTGTCATTCTTCTCTTTCTTACCATCTCTCCTTCTCTACTCTTGCGCTCACAGGACCAGATCGACGTCATGCTTCTGCAGACAGGAGGCGCCAGAGAGTGACCCTACAGCACAACAAGCACCATCGTGTTGCATCATCGTTCCCTTCTTGGCTTGTGCTATGTATATGCCCTCCTCCCTCTCTTCTTTACAACACAGAACCGTGTTTCGCTTTACTCTCGAGGAGCTCGTGGTGCTCAAGGCGTTGTTGGCGTGTGCCCTGTCTGTTGATGTTGTTGGTTGTTGGAGGTAATTACAAAACGTATCTGCTGAGATCCGTCTTGAGGAGGAGCTCGCTGAGGTGCTTCCTGACCTCGGCCACGTCGATGGTGACCTTGCCCGGCGTGCACTCGTAGCTGACCTCCTCCAGGATCCGCTCCATGACGGTGTGGAGGCGACGCGCACCGATGTTCTCCACCGTCTCGTTGACCTCGGCCGTGAGCTTGGTGATCTCGTGGATGGCGTCGTCGGTGAAGTCGAGCTCCACGCCCTCGGTCAGCAACAGGGCCTTGGCCTGGTCGATCTGGTTGAACTTGGTCTCGGTCAAGATGCGATAGTAGTCGCCCTTCTTGAGCGGCTTCAGCTGCACGCGGATGGGCAGACGGCCCTGCAGCTCAGCGAGCAGGTCGGATGGCTTGCACGAGTGGAAGGCGCCCGAGGCGACGAAGAGGATCTTGGAGGTGTCGACGTTGCCGTACTTGGTGCTGATGGTGGTGCCCTCGATGAGCGGCAGCAGGTCCCGCTGCACGCCCTCCGACGAGGCGTCGGCGCCGTACGAGTTCTTGTCCTTGCAGATCTTGTCGATCTCGTCGATGAAGACGATACCGTTGCTCTGCACGGCCTCCAGCGCGTTCTTGACGATGGCGTCCTTGTTGATCAGCTTCTCCGCCTCCTGCTCCTCCAGGTAGGGCCTGCGTGCACGCATCATCGTCAACAACAACATCACAACCAATCAGCCACGGTCACGTTGTGTGCGTGTGTGTGCGCGCGCGCGCGCGC